CCATAAGTAATGCTGCCACGTCTGGAGAGCTCGAACCAATGCGTATAACTCCTTGTCATACGTGGGATAATTCAGCGTTGATCCTCCTAACTTTTCGCTGAAGTAAGCGACGGGCTTCTTATCCTGCATAAGAACTGCTCCAATACCTACACCAGAAGCATCGCATTCAATCTCAAAAGTCTTAGTAAAATCAGGAAGTACTAGTAAGGGCGAATTGATAAGCTTCTCTTTAAGGGCTGTAAAAGCCTGTTCTTGCGCCTCTCCCCACTTGAACCCCACGTCTTTCTTGATGACTTCGGTTAAGGGCGCGGCTATGGTGCTGAAATCACGAACAAAACGCCTGTAGAATCCTGCTAAGCCATGGAAACTTCGGACTTCTCCAATATTCTTGGGGGTTGGCCACTCCTTGATAGCTTTTATCTTCTCTTCATCTACTTTAACTCCTCCTGCACTTACTACAAAGCCTAAGAAAACAATCTCGTTAGTGCAGAATGAACATTTAGATAAATTAGCAAAGAGAGATTGAGAGCGAAGAACATCAAGAACCGATCTGATGTGATCTAGATGTTCTTCCAAACCTTTACTGTAGATGAGGATATCGTCGAAATAAACCACTACGAACACGCCAATGAATGGTCTCAAAGCATGGTTCATTAGTCTCATGAAGGTGCTGGGAGCATTGGTGAGGCCAAACGGCATAACTAGCCACTCGTAGAGTCCCTGCTTTGTCTTGAATGCCGTCTTCCACTCATCCCCTTCCTTCATTCTGATCTGATGATATCCACTCTTCAAGTCGATCTTAGAAAAGATTGTCGATCCACAGAGCTCATCCAGCATATCATCTAGCCTTGGGATCGGATGCCGATACTTCACAGTGATGTTGTTGATAGCTCGGCAGTCTACACACATCCTCCAGGAACCATCCTTCTTTGGCACCAACAGAACTGGAACCGCACATGGATTCAAGCTTTCTCGGATATGGCCTTTGTTCATCAGCTCCTCCACTTGCTTTTGCAGCTCCTTAGTCTCTACAGGGTTGGTTCGGTATGCTGGCCTGTTAGGTAAGGCTGATCCTGGTACCAAGTCAATCTGATGCTCTATCACGCGAATTGGAGGTAGCCCTGGTGGAATTTCTACTAGAAAAACGTCCTTGTATTCCTGCAAAATCTCAAACATAGCACTAGGAAGCTCCTGTGAAGGGTTAGTACTAACAAGGGATTCCTTGTACACAAACATAAAAGTAGTCATTTCAGGATCAAAGAGTTTAGAAAATTCACTGTGGTTTATGTAGAGGCTGTTGGCGACTTTCTCCTTCTCCTTGAGCTTCATTTGAACTTGATCTTGATAAATCTCGGTAGGCGTGAGAGGTAGGAGGGTAATTTTGCGACCTTTGAACTCGAATGAGTGCTTGTTGGTGTAACCGTCGTGTATCACCCTACGATCTGATTACCACGGTCTGCCTAGCAACACATGACTCGAACCCATGGGAATGACGTCACATAGAATCTCATCTTCATACTTCCCAATGGATAGAGAAACCATCACTTGCTGAGATACGGTCAAGGCTCCACTGTCATTCAACCACTGAAGCTTATACGGCCTTGGATGAGGAATAGTCTTGAGCTGGAGCTTCTTAACCATCTCTTCGCTTGCAGCATTAGTACAACTTCCTCCATCTATGATCAGGCTACAAACTTTTCCTTGAATGAAGCATCTCGTATGGAACAGGTTCTCTCGCTGACAAGTCTCTTCAGGTTGACTCTGAACACTCAAAGTCCTTCTGGCAACCAGCATCTCGCCCACAGCAGCAGCTTCTTCCTCTTCCTCTAATTCATATTCGGCCTCTGAATCCTCTTGAGGAACTATCTCTCCCCCCTCTTGTAACAAGAAGACCTTCTTGTTTGGGCAATCTCGAGAGTAATGTCCCATTCCTTGACATTTGAAACACCTCACATTGCTGATAGAAGTACCACTTCTTGGTTTGAACTCAGCTTTAGCTTCTTCTTTAAGTCCAGTGGGGGGTGGTTTGATGTCTCTGGAGTAAGCTGGCTTGCTGATCTCCTTAGGCTTCGGCACACTAGGCGTAAATGTGGACTTGAAATTTCGCCTCTTGACTTGAGATTCCACCAATTCAGCCTTATGCACCATCTCTTGTATATCTGCGAAATCCTGAAGTTCCACCTTGTCTTGAATTTCTCGGTTAAGTCCTCCAAGAAATCTCGACATTACCATCTCTTCGCCTTCTCGTAAATCTGCACGAATGAGCAAAGTTTCCAATTCTTGATAATAATCTCGAACAGACTTCGTACCTTGGACAAGGCGCCTAAGCTTGTTGAGTATCTCGCGCTGATGATGGGCCGGAACGAACCGCTTCCTCATCTGTATAACGAGCTGCTCCCAAGTAGTAATCGGAAGTTCCCTCAAGCGATTTCTGGTGACTCCCAACTGCTCCCACCATAGAAGCGCATACCCATGAAATTCCGAAACTGCAATCTTCACCTTGTTGAGCTCGTAAGTTCCTTGGACCAGAATATTAGACTCCATCTTCCTTTCCCAATCTAAATAAGCTTCGGGATCATTAGTTTTATGGAAAGGAGGATACTGGATTTTGATATGACGCAGCTGCTGTCGTAGAGGATCATAATCTCGACCATGTCCTCGGCCTCGATCTCGTCTCACAGTTTCTCTGCTATGATCAGAAGCTTCGTCCTCCTCATAGTATTCTGGGTCTGATTCCAGGGTAACTCGATGCCCAGCAATATATTCCTCTCGGCGGTGCTGAGGATCTACCCTTGGGCCATCTCGTTCTGCACCAGTAGGATTCCTCCTCGGATTAAACGTAGTCTCTCTGCCCCCAATCTGGCTTCGACTGGACTTAGCTTTAGTCCTGGCTTCGGAAGGTGTTGGGTGGCGTGGAAGTTTCCGTGAAGATCCTATGTGCCCTTTACCCTTTGCTAAGCGCATTGCTTCCGAAGGAGTTGGAGTTTGAGACGACTCTTCTCCACTTGCACTGAGGTCTTTGAGCAGATCCGTCATCTTCGTCTCGAACTTGTCATTGAGTTGTTCGATTTGTTGTGTGAGCTGAGTTGCTATGGCTTGATTCGCTTCTTTAATTTGTTGAGACATTGCTCGGTTCAGAGCTTCCATCGCCTCAGCCGAAAGCTCCATGGTACCTGAAAATTTTAAAAATAAAACTCGCAGTAACTTGTTCTAGAAGAAATCACAAAAACAGCAAAACTAAACTCATCATAAAAAAAAAAAAATAAACGATCCCCACGAAATCTAAAAACAAACTTAACGAAACTAATGAAATTTAACGAAATTTTTTTTTTTTGTAAACCTAACTAACGAAAATACAAGACTCTCTTATCAAATCTAAACGAAACAGCCGAAAAATACAAAGATTTTAGGCCTAAACGCAAACGACAACTCGAAGACTCCTAACGAATGCGAAACACGAAGACTATCAACGAAAACGATAACGAAACAAACCCTAGACACGAAACAATAAGAATCGACCTAATCAAGAATTCAAACGATGAAAGCAGAGATCGACACCAGCTAATCTACGTTTAGAATCGAAAATTTCAAAGTACAGAGATTAGGGTTAGAGTTCGCTCAGCCTTTGGTTCAGAGTTGGCTCTGATACCACGTGATACGATCCTAGATGATCGACTCTGAAGGAAAGGCAACAGACAACGCGAGATCGCGATTTGAATGGATAGATGCGATGAAAACGGTTTAAGGAACAGTGATGGTGGTGCGACGAAGATGCGATGGTATCGTGTAGGTGTTATAGTGATCGCGACGATGTATCGAGATGGTGGTTATGCGGATCGAGTTGAAGACTCGATATGGTTGTGTGTGGCTCGTCGCAAAGGGATCGATGATGGTGATGAAGGAGAGATCGATTCGATGGGGTGGTGGTGGTAGTGTGATAATCGAACGGATGATGATGGAGAGATAGTAGAATCTCTTGTAAACAGATTAGTTTTAAGAAATTCGAATTTCAGAGTTTTTAGTTCTCAGAAATCAAAGAGAGAAGAACACGTTAAAAGTTTGATCAAAATTCTTCACTGAATATGACATAGGCGATTTTCTCTACTTTATAGAGTAAGAGAGAAAATCGCAGCCCTAATAACAAACTACACGAAGTCTGAAAAAAAACAACACGAAGTTTGATTTAAAAATAAAACAGCGAGGCGTCCCTTCTAAACCTAAGTGGTGCGCCTAAAACAACTAGTGCACAAGTCATTGTGACTTTGCACGTTATTACCCATTAGTAACAACTTCTAAGTAACTCGACGTAGCAACGATTTCTGCCTCGTTAAAAACCTTGGAGAAGAACCTCCTTGCCTTCCAAAATCCTCACCAAGGAAAAGAGTACAGAATCATCACCTAAGTTACCTAGTCATTGTTACTGGATTCTTCATTCTTCAAGATAGAGATGTTGAAGATGTGAGCTCCAGCCTCCTGGTGATCGCTGTCCTCTATGGCAATGAGTGCGTGAGCCTCCTTAGCCATCTCTCTAGCTCTGGAACGAGTGATCCTGCCAGCTACCTCTGGTTTCTCCTCCTCTGAGCTGGTCACGATCATATCATCCTCCAGGGTTAGGGTTGCGGGATTGAGCCTCCAGGCCTCAGGAATTAGGTTTTCACAATTCTACCAAAGAAAATTAAGATAAAATCAGCTACGATATATTAATTTTTAAAAGAGTGATACATATATTAATTCTGATATTCTGATGATTTGATGTTAGACTTGAGAGTAATATCATGTTCGGTTAAAAATTACATTTCGTTCATTATTTAAAACTCTCTCTCTCTCTCTCTCTCTAATATATGCATTAAACTTGCATGAACGCAAAGCAGATGAATAAACTAAACAAGTGAAAGAAATTAAAGTAGTTGGTGGAAAGGTAAAGAGCATGTCTCTAATTAATAAGAAACATAAGAACAGGTATTATAAGAACAAGATCGAACATCAAACATCTCAAGGGAAAAGTAAAAAAAACTTCAATGTCGAATTTAAAAAAAAAATTAAATGAGAAGGTAGCTATAATAACAGGAGGAGCAAGAGGGATCGGTGCGGCGACGGCTAGACTGTTCGCAGAGAACGGCGCGTATGTCATAGTCGCGGATATCTTGGAGAAAGAAGGCGTCCACGTGGCAGATTCCATAGGCGGGTGTTACGTGCATTGTGATGTGTCCAACGAAGCTGACGTGGCGGCGGTGGTGGAGCTAGCCATGAGACGTAGAGGGAGGCTGGACGTGATGTTTAACAACGCCGGGATGACTGTGAACGAAGGTAGCATCATGGAAATGGACGTTGGGATGGTTAACAAACTTGTCTCCGTTAATGTGAATGGTGTCGTGCATGGCATTAAACATGCTGCTAAGGCCATGATCAAAGGTACAGATAGGCGTATTACTACATAAATTAGATATGATGTGAATTTTTAATTTTTTTCCTCGTGAATGTTTTAATTTGTGGTGTCCAATCAGATTTTCGGTTTATATATTATATAAACTAAGGCTTCTTTGCTAGATAGCTAAAGTTTTGGTTGGAATCGATAGAAAAAAAAAAAAAATAACAAGTGTATTTCTTCGTGTATAACTTGAACAAATAACATGTAAATTGGCATTTTATCAGCTAAAAACTAGTCATGCTATTTTTTTTATCCGTCGTTATTGAAAATAAAAGTGTAGAATTTGACTTTCTAATATATTTTCTGTTAAGAGTAATTGGTAATTAAATAATAATATCAGACGGTTTCGGTTATGATTCAGATACTTAAAAGAAACTTATGTGATTTTTTTTCTTGCTAGGAATGTAATTATCATTGAAAATGAAAAGTACTTGAGACTTTACTTATTGTTTAACCTATACAATTGAAAAAAAAAAGCATAAAAGCAAACACAAACATGGAAGCAAAGACTAATTAATTAGATTATGTAAGGTTTTGTCCATGCTCTGAATTTTAAGAAACATATGTTTGATGAAAGCAGTCTTAGGTTTAAGTTGGTTTGGTATAGGTTACTGTTCATAGTTTTCTTGTTACGTCTGTTTTGATGGGTATCATTCAGATGAGAGATTGCACAGCCCTTATTTTAATTGTCAGACAACTAAAACTTAGTTATGATGCATCTAAAAACGCAAAAGGGGGAGGAGGCGGGTCGATCATATGCACATCGAGCTCATCAGCGGTAATGGGAGGACTTGGAGCTCACGGCTATACGCTTTCGAAAGCAGCCATCAACGGACTGGTGAGGACAACGGCTTGCGAGCTCGGCTCTCATGGCATCCGCGTGAACAGCGTCTCTCCTCATGGAGTTCCCACTGACATCTTGGTCAATGCGTACCGTAAGTATCTAAACAATGACAAAGTTGATGTGGCTGAGGTCACTGACATTGTGGCTGAGAAAGGGAGTTTGCTGAACGGAAGGCCCGGTACAGTGGAGGATGTGGCTCAAGCAGCTTTGTTTCTTGCAAGCCAAGAATCTTCGGGGTTCATTACCGGACATAACCTTGTCGTTGATGGTGGTTACACTTCCGCCACTAAAACCTTGAGAGCTATGTACAATTAGTTTTCGTCTTTTGGTGAATGAATCAGAAATCTTGGAGAAGTTTATTTTCCAAGGTTATTATGGAAAGGAACTATTAAATAAATATTTTCTAACTACTTATTTCAAAATCTGTCCTTAACCACCAAAAACGAAAATCATGTAATCCTCTTCTTTCTTATAATTAAAGAGCTGATGTTGAAACTAATGGTTTAAAAGATATGTACGTTTAATCAAAATTTTCTTCTCTCACCTTTTAAGTTTCATAATATCGCCATTGCTATCAACTACTTAACTAAAGATTATGAGGAATTAACTTTGTGTAGACACTACCGTCGTACATGTTATTGATAAGCCCTTAAGGGTTTATACTACGCAGAAGAGAAAGAATCGTGAAGAAGAACAGAGAAGAGAAGGATTGTTCAGGAAATGGATTGATCGTTGAAGAATTTGAGCTGATATGGATAAGTGAAGCGAGTCAATGGTCAACAGAAACAGAGAAGAAGATATAAGAATAGTATAAATAGAAGTTTGTAATTCTGTTTTTAATATGGAATTTGTATTTTCGTTCTGGAGGTTGTTAGAAATTTAGTCTCTGCAATTTAGTGATTACAAGAGTCTGTTCTTGTTAATCGAGTTCTTTGGTTCATTCAACATCTGAGAGTCTCGGACTTGGATCAATCTTGTAATTCTCTTTTTAAGTGAAATAAAATCGACTGTTTCTCTTAACAGTGATCTATGATTTATGATTGAGAGATTAAACAATGTAACTTTTGTTGTGCTGCAATTAAGCATTTAGATTTCCAAAATTAAGCATTCCCATTTATGAGGTAACAAAGATTATATGTCTATACAAAAGCAATAATCTCAACTTTCTGGAAACGTAGTACTTTCGAGTTTCACGATTTATGAGTTTTTATAACAAAGCTAGAGAGAGAACCCAATAAAAGGATAAATGATCAATGGAAAAATTCCTCTTCGTGAGTGCCAAATACAATTTAGTCTGTGACCGATGATGACCTGCTTTGGTTTCAGGATTCCTCTGTATATGTACAAACTCCAACGAAACAAATCTGTTGCGGAGGCCAACCAAACCCATGTTTGTTGTTGGTTAGACTCAGATCTCGTAGTCTATATCTGTTGCATTCTGGGAATCAGATTGTTTCACCAACTGTTCCTGTTCGTCATACCGATCAAGGTTATCACACGGAGCAGGGAAGATGGTGCCTATCACACGCCCTTGCACGTACGCACACTGAAATATGTGCTTTTTCTTGTACGTTATCCCAACTGACATGTCCCTGAAGGTTACATTTTTAACCGGAATTTCTTTGCTTCCTTGGATACGCACTGGTACACGCACTCCTTGACCGTAAACACCTGTGTAGTTTATGTTCTCAAGGACCGGGAAGGCTTGGGGATTGAATCCACCATCTGGGTGCTCGTTGTAGTCCGTTTTAATGACAATGCCAACTCTCAGTTCATCTAATGTGACATTCCGGAATGTTATATCCCGAACATACCCACCTCTTCCAGGTGCGGTTTTTATCCTAACTCCACGCCGGGAGCTCCAAATCAGAATGTTCTCCACGGTGATATTCGATACACCACCAGACATCTCGCTTCCTATTGATATACCAGCACTGTTTTGCACAGAGGCTTTAGGTATATGTAGTTATTAGATCAACATCAATTAGGGAAAGCTATTCTCTCTTACCTAACCATGGAGCGGATGATGAGGTTACGGATGAGTATGTTCTTTGAAGGGCGTCCATAGGTAGTTCCATACTGGTCCCAACCGCTCTTTATTGCGATTCCATCATCCCCAACGCTAATGTAAGAGCTCTCAATTATCATGTCCTCGCACGAATCTGAGGCACAACAAGAAGATATTAGCCACCATCAAAGCCAACTGGTTTACACAGAACGCCCAAGCCCATACTCTGAATAAGATTTGTATCAGTAAGATCATATGTTCGGTGCCATATGCTTATTAGCAGCACTCGGATACAATGAAAGGAGCTGTGTCGCTCTTCGGCATATGGAATTCCTGATATTTACATAATTCAGTTGCTAGGATCCCAGATGCAATTTGGGTACTCAAGATTTATCGCCTTTTTGTTTCATTGATATTCCAGAATTAGACCTAATTTATCACTCTAATAAAACCCATCTTGCTGCTCATGCCATCTTGAATGTTTCACTTGCTCATTATAGGTGTCGTTGCAATCATGGATTCATTTTCTTCCTATATAACTGAATTGCATTGTGAGCACGAAGTGGAAAATACTAACCAGGATCGATACCATCAGTGTTTGGGGCTTCGAACACAGGTGCCAAAATGGTCATATTTGTGATTGTAACATTTTTGCAGTCGTATGGGTGAAGTGTCCAAAATGGAGAATCACGCAAAGTGATATTGGCAAAAACAACGTCGCTTGACCACATTATCTGCACCAGTGGTCCTCTAGTGTGGTTGAGCAGCTTTTGGCGATACTTCTTCCACCAAGTTTGCCCCTGCCCGTTGATGCTACCGTTATTTCCTGTTTTCCATCATAGATAAGCCATCATTCAAACAGTTAATGGAATAAAAGCCAATGTTTGTCAGAGATAGAACAGGCTATTAGTAACAAAAGTTGGATAATATGAGTGAACTGAAAAGGAGACTTTGATTATCTAACAGAGGAACTTAGTCGATTCTTGTCCCGAGACTACGGTTAAAGCTCTTGTCCAGCTAAGAGAAACAAATAACAAGTTTCATCCAGCTTATAGAGATATCATTGATACATTTCAATTTTCCTGCAAGAGCCTGGTTGCATCTAGAGCTTAAAATAGTGTTGAGGTTGAAAATTATTATTCGGCAACACCAAACGTTTTGGTTGAGCTTAAACAGTAGAGCTGTGGTTTACTTTTACATAACCTTGATATGTGAAAAGCCCTCAAAATGCAGCTACAGCCAAAAATGCTTAACCGTGCGAGCACATTCTTAACAATTATTGAATTAAGAAAAATCACATTTGAAACTCAGTTCTCTTGAAAGAAAAACAGTCCTCCCAAGAGAGATTTACAAATCCATTGACTGACCTGTGACGACAACATCTCTGAGATTCTGTCCGTGAATGAAACTTCCATAGCGAGGTCCAGGATGCTCTCTTCCATAGCCGTATGATGGTAAAGGAGGAAGAAGGGGCCATAAATTTTCATCCTAGGCAAGTTAGCATGAAAACCATTGTAATAAATAAAGCTATAAAAGACAAAGCCCCCTCAAATTATCAATAGGACCAATTCAATATCAATAAAAAAATCACTCTTAAAATTTCTAGGTGTAGCTCTCGATTGGTTAATCATTGTTAACCTTAGATGAACCACGCAATGGGCAACATTAAGCTACACTCTCTACTAACTCACAACTTCATAGCCCAACCAAAATCAATAGAAAGGAATCATTCCAGGAACAAGAAAGTAAGAGTTGCCTTCAGAAGGTGTAATTTGTCTCAGTGTTAAACTCAGCAAAAGCTTGAAGAAACAAATCAAGTTTCACATTTAATTTCGTAGAATTTTCCTTCAGGGCAACTGTTTCAGTATCAAAACCCACATCCCTCCCTGAAAAAAGTCTGAATTTTTCACCAATTCTTAATGAAAAAATTCGTGATTCAGGAACCCATTAGCATACAATATTCGATTGCAGAAGGATCAATAGTTCCAATCATATTCTTAACTAGAAAAGAAAAGCATGAAATCAGAGCAGAAACAAAACTAACCTGCACGGCAAGGATCTCAGCGTTCTCGGCGAGGAAAAGTGTTATGTAACTTGTGAGATTAAACGGCGCTGTGAGCCACTTACCAGGAGGCACATTGAGCTGCCCACCTCCTCTTTTCCCAAGCTTTGAGATCGCAAAGATAGCTTTCTCGAACGCCTCAGTGTTCATCGTGACGCCATCGCCCACCGCACCGAAATCAGTGAGATTGAAGGCAACGGGTCTAAGCTGGGGAAATCCGCCGGAAGAGACGGCGGCTGCAGCGGTCGCTGTCCACCAGAAAACGGAGAGGCCACCACTAACGCCGTAGAGAGAGCCTCCTCGGCCGGTAACGCCGCCGAATTGCCAGATGAATAGGGAAGCGAAGGTGGCGATCCAGAAAACAGAGACGAGAGACTTGTGGGAAGAGAGGAAACGCCTGGGTAGGGGTTCCACCATTTTTTTGGGATTAGAAGTTCGAATTGGAGAAGAAGAACAATGGAGGAGAAAAGGAAATCTAGGGAGAGATTTTAGATCTTGAGATTTGGGTGAGATGTTAGTAGTCAGAAACTGGTGAAAAAGGGATTCTTGTGTGTTTTGCGAGATTTCTGATTTTTGAAAGGAAGAGTGAATCTAAAGGGAACAAACACAGACGAAGTGTGTGTTTAGTTTGTTGAAACTAACGTCTCAGAAAAGCGATTAAGGCATGGCTTCTGAGTTTTAGATTTTGGTTTTTAAATTTTTGGTTTTTGATTTTTGCTGTAGATTTTAGTTTCCTTTAAAAAAAAAAAATTAAATAAAATAATTATTAAAAAGGAGAACACGTCACCATAGACGATTTTGGGCGATCATGAAAGACACTAGGATTTCATCTTCTACCACAAGTTAACGGCGAAGAATGGAGGAGGGATCGGAGCTGCAACCTCCGATCGATGAGGGTCATAGTGCAGAGTTATCTCCGCGCATAATTTCTCAAACTCCATGGGCGAATATTGTTAAAAACAAGTCATTTCTCTCGACTCACGAAGTGATAGTGGATGTAGTTGATAGTATTAGTACAGTGGAGATACCGGAGGAGATTCTGTCAAACTCGTGCCTCTATAGGATAATTTGCTGGAGGGAAGGTTTCTATCTACGGCGCCTCACGTGGCTAAGATCCACGTGATCGTCAACAAAATTTGGCCACTTGGTGATAAGAGTATTAGGGTTGATGTGTTTGTGGTAAACTCCACTACGGTGAAGTTCCGCATTAACGATGCATCAACTAGGGCAAAGATTATGTGAAGAGGAATGTGGAACATAGCAGGAGTTCCGATGCTTATTTCAAAATGGTCGCCGATGAAAGAGAAGGAGCCAGAGCCGGAGATTAAAGTTATTCCGATGTGGATTAAACTTACAAATGTGCCACATAAGATATTTTCATGGGAAGGTTTGAGTTTCATAACTAGTGCAGTGGGGAAGCCAATTCGACTGCACCCCGACACAATGCTTTGTACAAAGTTTGAAGAGGCAAAGATTTTTGTCGAGGCAAACATGACTAAGGAGCTGCCAAAAGTATATCGATTTACATCGAAACAGAGGATAGATTCAGAGGTTGAATTTATTTATCCCTGGTTACCGGTGAGATGTTCCATATGTTCAAAATGGGGGCATCTAGCTACTGCTTGTTCACCAAAAGGAGACAAAGAAATATTCTGACTGCTCCAAAGGAAGTTGCAGGAAGTATGCAGGTGATGGAAAAAAGTGCAGAGGTGAAACAGAGGGATGTGGTGATAGAAGAAGTTAGAGATGTGGTGTCACCACCTGTAGTAGTGGAGATGGCAAAAGATGTCGAGAAAGTGAATCATCACGGAGGGGAAGATGATCAATGCTGGTCAAAGGTCTCTCCAATGAAGGCGAGGAAGCAATCAGACCGAACCGAGCAAAAGGAGGGTCTCGTTGTATCTCTTTCTCAGTTTGCAATTCTACAAGATCAAAATGATATGGAAGAGGAGGTTTCAGAGGAGTTTGTTCCAGCAACCTCATCGGGACTAGATACTGTGGAGTCAGAAAAGGAGGAGGGAGAGATAGCTGATAAAGCAGATGCGAACCAGGATGAGAAGGCACAAAGGGTTCTTTCTCCGTGTGCTACTAGAGGATCATCTAAAAGCAACTCAAATTCTTTAGTTTTGAGCACGAAGGAGATTCTTCCACGTGCAACAGGCAAAAAGAAACCCCCGGCAGAAATTAAGTACGTCAGGATTCTTCTGGAATGTCCGCGGCTTAAACAAAACATGAAAACATTTCATTGTGAAGAATTGGGTAGATGGAGAGGATTTTCAGTTCGGTGGTGTCTTGGAAACAAGAGTAAAGGAGAATAGGATGAATCAGATTGGGAATTCAGTTTTTAAAGATTGGATGGTGCTTACAAACTATGAACATCATCGTTTGGGACGCATCTGGGTTGTTTGGAGATGGAATACTAGGCTGACCCCTCTTTTCAAGAGTATTCAGCTAATCACATGTTCAGTGAAGCTAGATGGCTTGGAGAAAGAATTTTTCTGCTCATTCGTATATGCATCAAACTTTGCGGATGATCAGAAGGAATTATGGAGTGACTTGAGACATCATCAGGATTCTCCAATATTGCGAAATAAGCCCTGGATCATTTTTGGTGACTTAAATGAAATATTGGAGGGTGAGGACCTTTCTGACTACCCTCAAACGTTGTCTGTTACTGCTGGTATGAGAGACTTTCAAGACCTGGTGAGACACTGCTCGTTGATGGATATGGCTTTTCATGGTCCCAAGTTCACCTGGTGTAACAAAAGGGATCATGGTACAATCCATAAAAAGCTCGACAGAGCTCTTATAAATGATGTTTGGCTACATAAGTTCTCTCAGTCATATTCGGTCTTTGAAGCGGGAGGTATTTGATAACACCTGATTTTGACCACTTTTATGGATCATTTTTAATATCTTATGCATGTGTTTTCATTCAGATTAGAAGATTTTAAGTGATTTCCATGTTTTAGAATCTCAAAAGAGTTTTCAGGTTATTTTGACAAAAGGGATGCACTTGGGAGTAAAAAAGCATGACTTTGGATAAATTCAAACTGTCGGAAGTTTGGTAACAAATGGAGGCATTCTCACCGTCTGATCATCCCCAAATGTTGTCACAGGATAGAGGAGACAACCAGCTTTCCAATACAAGTGGAAACAAAGCAATCCAACTGTTAGATCTCCAGATATGGTTGATACACTGAAGGCGAATCATCACAGTCAGAAGCTCACCCGCGGCCAAAACATCATCCGCCACGGTGCAAAATTTTAGACCGCGGGGGGCTCAATTCCGAGCCTCAGAAGCCCATATCAAAGCCCAAGTCACTCCCATCATTATTCCTGCAAGCCCTAGGCGTTCCCGAGGACTGAAGACACTATGTAAACCCCTTTTAAGTCGTTTAGAAGGGTGTGCCACATTTTTCACCAGGAACCCTAGAAGAGAAGCTCGCCCAGAAGAGGAGCCACCGAGAGGGGCACCATCGGCCCTCTTTCTTCAACCTGTTATTCGTTTCTAAACTCTGTCTATTTCAATTCTCTGTAATTCTAATTACTCTTGTGATGTTGAATTCAACTATGTCTGAGTAGTTTCCCAGTTGGGTTTTTAAGGGATTTTTCAAAGGGAATTTAATGTCTTGATCATATACTTATTGCGATTTAGGGTTCATAATCTTCTAGGAGTCCTTCGTTCATTCTTGTTCCCTATGCTGTTTCTGTTGCTAACCGCTTAGAAATTGATCTCAGTAATTGGAGCCACGAGAGTGCTGTATCGAATTACCAGACCTAGAAGTGATCGAGCGAAATCGCTGTAGGAGACGAAAGCTACCTACAGAGAATCGCGAGCGTGGATGAATTCTGTTTTTAATGCATGATCGTATTCGCAGCATGAGAGCGAGAGTTAATTGCTGTGTTGAGTGATTAGATGATTAGGATGACGACAGTTGGCTAATCTTAAATGTGTCTATTCGAGTTTGGGATCCTCACTAGTTGATTTCCTTTATCGATTTATTTGTCTTTTGATCAGTTCATGAACCCCTGCGAAAACCCTTTAGATCCAGCGATTTGTTCCCATTGTTTACAACATTTTTATTTCGATTTACACTTAGATTTAGTGACACCAAAACCAAAAACCCCCATTTGCTTGTTCTGCTAGTCTTATGTCTTGATTGATTCGCACTGAAAGCTCAAAATCTCTGTGGTTCGACCCCTAAGTACTACAGCGTACATCAGTGCACTTGCAGATATTTAGGGTTATAAATTTAAAACGTGAAGCTAGAAGTAACCCTTGGTTCTCTTAGCATCAAGTTTTTGGCGCCGTTGCTGGGGATTCTGATTCCTTTCGTTGCGAATCTCTGCTTAATTCGGTAGAACTTTTTTTAATTTTTGTTTTTCTTTGATTTTTCAGGTACTTTTTCGATGAGGGGTCAGGAACACATCCTTGATCCTCTCGCTGAAGAGGACCCTTTTCTAGATGGTGATCCATCAGATGATGAGCTTAATGACCCAATCGATGATGGTGTCGCTCGACACCAATGTCGTGGAAAAAGGAAAAACGTGATTTTGTCCAAGTTTTGAAGAATCTCTTGGGCCCAAAAGTATCCAATATTTACAAAGAAACCCAACACGTGTTTCTAGTATTTATTAGGGTTTTCAGCCACCGGTTTTGGCCACATCTGAGATTTTTTTAAGACCTTTGATTTTCAATTCATCGATACTTGAGAGAGCTTTTGGGGAAACAAGTTTGAGACTCTGTTTTGAGAGAAGATTTTGAACCCCTGTTTATTAATATATTTACTGCTTTCTGCAACCTATTCATTCATGTTTATTGCCTCAATATCCATGTTTGAGTAGTTAGATTTTTAGGTTTAGAGTTCTTATAAGGTTTCATTTAATGTTGGATTGATTGATTAGTTGGGGAACTTACTGAAATGGCAGTAGATGATTATAATCTGGGCAAGACTGAGATGGTCGAGTTATCGTACTCACTTCCACATTCAATGTTGCAAACTATGACTCCAGATACACCTCCAATGCATGTCACCAATGACAGACAAGTTTCAAGCTTGATTGCATTAAGCAGAGTGCATATGGTACGTCTTTGTGTGTCCAGTCGAGTGGAGATGGATACTGAGAAGAACCAGGAAGACTCAGATGAAGATGTCGGTGAGGAGTCCGATGAAGATGCTGAATATACTACGGATGACGAGGCAGTCAATTCTGATGCGAATGAAGATATTAAAGTTCCAGCTGATGGGGAAGATGCGGCTTACTCTGACGGGGAAGATTACAGTGTCTACAATAAAGTGAAAGATGAAGATGATGATAAAGATGAAGTCTGTATTGATAATGTCAGAAATAGATCTGGTGAAACAGGAAGAATGCCCATGTCATGGTCTGACAATATATATGTTGGGGCAAGTTTCCCTACCAAAGAGAAGCTGTTATCAGAGTTGCGATTGAGAGCGATCATGTTAAAATTTGTTTTTAAAACAACTAAGTCTACAAAGACTCTGCTTGTGGCTAAATGTCGGGTGCCAGGATGTGCTTGGATGGTTAGAGCGAATGTGAAAAATGAAGCAACCACGTTTTGGGT